CAAAGAATGTGTTGTGATTGTCACCACGTGGCATAGCAAGCAAGTCCAAACATATGTATGTCACATGGCATACAAGGTCAAGGACACTAAACTCTAACTATGAGAAAAAGCCAAAGAGCACAAACCAAAGTGCATGCCATGTGTCAATGTGGCACACATTGAAAACCATAAAACTCTATGAGATCAAACCAAAGGCCATGCCACGTGTTAAAATAAAACTCAGATGTATCCAAGGCCAGATAAATCCGAGGCCGGACATGTCCGGGGCACGACGTGTACGGGGCATTCATGAGGATGTCAAAGATTTCATACTTTCTCAAGATTGTTATTAATTTTATTGTTTACTATGATATTTAATTGCAGGAATGTCAATTTGATTATCATCATCAACCATTTGTTCCTCATCCAATAGCCCTAATCTTTGAGCAACCAACATATAAACAAAGTGCAATTTGAATGAAGATTAGAGCTATATATTGACAGCATCTTTCTGATGTTGAATGATGATGTTAAATCATGAACCACCACTACATATATTGTAGTAATACAAACCACTTTTGGAAATGATGTCTTCATGTCTGTGCTCACCCTCAAGATCATATAGTGGATGTAACACTTATGGTTTTAAAAAACAAGAATGTCAAGTCTAATTAAAGGTTGTTTGATTGGATTGCACATGTTTTTTTTCTCATTTTGGCTTCTGTCATGAATGTGCTTATGATTATTGAAAAATATTTATCAGCAAATCCTTTTGGATATTTTTTCTTACTGCTATGAGAGCAGGAGGTCAATATTGTTATTCTTATAATTTTTGTTCTCTCTCACTTCAAAAGATACGTGCCTCAAGATAGGCTAACATATCATTGTTCTTCAATTAGGTTGATGATACTGTCTACAAATTATGAAAAATAACAATAGAATATGTATAAATAATTCAGATAATTGTTATTTATTGCTGACGTTTATAAAAAAATATTTATGTTAAAAGAGCAAGCAATATAGATAATCATAATGGCAGGAGATCAGTATTGTTATTCTCACAATTGGTTTTTCTCTCCCTCTTCAAAAGATATGTGCCTCAAGATAGGCTGACATATCATCATTCTTAAATTATTAAATCGTTGATATTGTCTATAAATTATGAAAAATAACAATAGAATATGTTATTAATAGTTTAAATAATTATTATGGATTGCCTGAAGTTCAGAAAAAAATATTTATGATAAGAGAAAGCAATATAAATAATCAAAAGCACAAGATTTCACATCAGCCACACAGAGGAAACATATTGTATCCATTGGCGGTTGTAAGTATTCAAAATCCAGATTACAAGCTTCATGTTCACCAGGTTAAACAACTCATGTTTAGCTTTAGAAAGGAAAACATGAGCCTAGGAAAAGTTGACAAGAAAATTAAAATCTAAATTTAGAAGGTAACACTCATGAATGGCAACTAGTGCCAAGAGACTCTCGATATACACAGACTGCTTGCACTCCAAAACGTCCTAACAGTTTGCTGATAACTAAATAAAGCATCTAAGTTTAATAGTAATAAAAATGTACCCTATAGATTGAACGGTTGTGTATCAATATTATTTATATTTTTTATACGATTTTTTATTCAATAGAAATTTAGACATGTCATGGTTAGCAAGATTTTAAATTTGTCCACCACATTGGTGTAATCATTGGATATTTAGAAAACCTTTTTTGATTAGATTTATATAATACTAAGTTACAGTTACTTCGAAGGGATAAAAATGTGTTCATCATGCAATTTTTATATTTGCAGTATGTATTTGGAGACCAAATAACATTTTTATTTCCTGAGTAAAATACTAAATTTCCATCTAATTGTATTCTTAATTGACACTTACTATCACTTTCATATCCTTTCTTAGACCATTTCTCAATGTTATATACATAAAGTACTAATTTACAATTTATATGTAAATATAAAATTGCTTTATGATTTGGTGATACTAAAAATTGTGTTGATCTCAGGTAATAATATGGCATAATGCTTACTAATGTAGTAAGATAAATTCTACAAACACCTAAAGAATCTACTTGAGGAAATAGTAATTGGGGATTATGATTTTTGTAATTTGTAATAGTATATTGAATTGCATAATACTCAAGTACCATAGTAAAAAATGATGCACATAATCTTCTTATAGTATTACGATGGGAATTTAATAATGTTGTAAAATATCTTTTAACATTATCTCCATGATCATATTCAGGATTTTCTTGATCAGCTACACACAAAGGAAAAGATTTTCCTTTTGTACCATAAATCCACATCTCAGTAACAATATTTAAATGACCATGTATTTCATCTTGTAATGTAAATTCAAAATTCATACTTTGACCTTTTGGCAATTCATCAGAAGATGTATTATTAATCATTAATTCCATTGCATATATAATTAGTTTAGCACTTTCTTCTGACATTGCATTTTCTTCTCCATGATCTATTTGTGATTTAATAATACTAACATAATATAACACATGAACTAAGATAATTATATTCTTCATTTTTTAAAAGGTAATTAAAATTGAAATTTTAATTTACTTTTAAAGCTAAATATTAAATTTAAAATAAATATATTATTTATTTCTTAACTACTAAAATACAAAAATGATATTGGGAAAATCAGCTTGAGTTAATGACAAGTTAACAAATGTTTGAACTAGTCTTATGAAATTTAAAAAACAAATTAGTATTATATTTATGGTAAGATAATTCCAAAACCTAATACTTAGTATTGTTCATAAGCTTTTTTAAATTTATATTTATTATAAACAAATTATTTTATTTTTATAAATTTATTAATAATAAAATTTGTGTCATTTTGATTTTAGTATATTACTGTAATTTTGTAATAATGTGGCTTTTGATTTTTGGTAGTAATGATGGATATACCTAGAATATGCTTAGATATTCTAGTATATTCTTTTTTATAAACTTTAAATATGTTTAAATTTAATAAAATTTCTTAAACACCTTCATATGTCCTATAACCAGATTAAATTATAAATATATTTATAATTTATTAAAAAATTTAAACACCAAGTAAATTTAGGTGCATAATTTTAGTTTCCCATTGTTGTGTCTTTCAGGCTTGAAAGAAAAACTTCTCAACTCCTTGGACCCAAAGGTATGACAATATGAATACATTTTTTCTTCTCTTTTAAAGGAACAGAAGTTTGTGCATGGATTCAAAATAGATTACCATCCATATTGTCCTTGCCTATGGTGGAGGGCTTCTCTTTGGCTATGATATTAGGATCTCTAATAAGGCCTTTCCCCTTACACAAGAAAAGAAAAAGCTCTTTTTTTTATATAGTGTTTCCATTGTGACGATTTATATTGTGAGCTGAATCCATGATCCATTGTGGTCAAGGGTCAACTGAAAACTGGAAAACAAATGAGTGCTACCATGAAGATTGTGATATTGTGTAAGTATTTGTTCCACAACAGGAAAGAAGAAGCCAACCTGGAAGTCTAAGCTTCTCTCTACATATGTATCCTTCCTAGATAGAATTCAAAGTCACTTGAATTGAATTGAAATTTTCTTATCTTTTGTTCTAGATGTGGAAGTGAACCTTATGAAGCTTTTGGTTCCTTAAATTCCCTACAATGAAATCTTTTGAAAGGTAATGCTGAAGTAAATGAAAGCACTTCTATTTATTGTTCTTCTTTGAATTACTAATAGATTAATTAACACCAAGTTTTTCTGGAGGAGTTGTAAAAATTCTCTCAATTTTTTTCTTGGGCATAGTGGGCATAGGTTCTTAGTGATAACACTATCGATCAACTCATACTCTATAGCTTCCATATATAATGATCTCAGGGCTTTTCAACTTGCTCAAATTGGTTTCCCAATTAGGATGTAAGTTTGAGCACAATCTGAAGCTTTCTCAACAACTATTTCAAGCTTTAAAGATTGCACTTTGTGATATCCAGGACATCCATTAGAGTTGTAGAATGTTCTTTTGACAGTTGACAACTTGGATCACAAATTACTAAATCTATATAATCATTAAATTGTAGAATTGTGCCAAAAATAAACTAATATATTTTTAATTTATCATTATGGGAAGTATTTGATTATTTTACATGAAACTTCAAATTAAATATCTTCTTCTAACCCTTAAGTATATGATTATTTTTATTGTTATTTTGTTCATCTTATATATTATAGTTGCACACTTAACATTAAACACAAAGGAAGATTTTTGTAAAACCTTATATTCCAGGAAAAAATCCCCAGTGTTTGCTATCTTAATTGATTTCCTTGTTAGTATGTGAAAGCTAAGACAAAAAAAAGGAAGAGAGAAGGAAAATGTGGAAGAATCAAGTGGATCTCAGCGCCTTAGTACATTCTCAAAATTCCCTAAACCCTAGATTGATATTAGGGTTTATGAGGAGCTTGTTCCTTGTCCAGAAGCGATCTCTCATAATATCGCCGTCCAGCAGCACCAAGCTTCCCTTTGCGAATCCCCACCACGTCCGGGCTCTCCTCCCCATTCTCGACGCCGCCGCGGCGAATCCAGGTACCAATGTGGCCGCGCTGCTCGATCGGCGCTTCGATTTCCCGGGGCTCACCAGGGATACCTTCCGCGACGTCCTCGGCAGGGTCAAATGCGGCGCCCTGGCACAGAGATTCTTCGACTGGGCAGCGACCCGGCAGGGATTCGCCCACGACAGGTTCACATACAATGCCCTTCTTTCGGCATTGGTGCGCGGAGGGCGGCTGGACGATGCGCACGAATCGCTATCCCTCGCGAAGAAGAAGAAGGCGATCATGCTCGATGTGGCGTCCTACAACATTGTTGATCCGGGGGCTGTGCCTTGGCGGGGAGATTCTCGCGGGCTTACGAGCTTCTTAAAGAGATGGAGGCTCTTGGCATCAAGAAGAGCCAAGTCACCCACGGGATCCTCCTCAATGCTCTGTGCGAGAGAACGGAGGTTGGATCAAGCGCTAAGTTACTTCCACTCGGTGTCTCCAAGGTCGGACTTAGACGTGGTTTCTTACACGACTTTGATCATGGGATTGGCAGACTCGGGCAGGATCGATGTAGCTTGCGAACTCTTCGAGGAGATGAGCTCTTCCGGGAGCCAGTGCGTGGTGGCTTACACTGCCATCATCAACGCGCTCTTCAAAGCTCACAGACCCGATCAAGCAATTGCCTGCTTTGAGAGAATGGTGGCGAGGAAGTGTGACCCGGATCTAAGGACTTTCACGGTCGTCATCACGGGGCTTTGCAAGGCTGGGAAGCTGAACAGAGCTTGTGAGGTGTTTCAGGAGATGAATCGCAAGGGGTGGAAGCCAGACATTATTGTTTACACGAGCTTGGTGGATGGATTGTCTAAAGCGAGCATGATGGACGAGGCACGGAAGCTCCTCCAGGAGATCGTCTCTAGGGGGATGAAGCCGACGGAGGTGACTTACACTTCTTTCATCAGTGGTCTTTGCAAGAACGGCCGAGTGGAAGAAGCTGGAAAGCTTGTCCGTGAGATGGGAAAGATGTGTGCCGCAGAGGTGCTTCACTGTATCTTCGGGGGCTATGTTTTGGAAGGGAAGATCGAGGAGGCCTTGGCTTTGAAGGACGAGATGGTGAAGAAGGGAGTGACTCTGGATGTAAGGTGCTACACAAATCTCATCCATGGGCTGTTTTACGTGAGACGAAACGATGAAGCACAAGAGATGTTTGAAGCCATGGTCCAGCAAGGATATGTCCCGGATACTCGTACTTATGGCATGATCGTCAGCCACTTCTGCAAGCAAGGCAAGATGCAAGCAGCGTGCAAAGTCGTAGAGATCATGGACGCAGCGGGACTGGAAGCAAACTGCCACATCTACAACTCGCTCATGGATGGATTCCTGGGGGTGAACCGAGCGAGGGAGGCGATCAACGTTTACGACACGATGCTGCGCAAGATGGTGATGCCGAGCATCGTGACTTATAACATCCTCATGCTCGGGCTCTGCAAGCTGGGCCAGACTGCGGATGCTCGGCTGGTGCTCAGGGAGATGCGAGAGAGAGACGGGATCGTTCCGACAATCGTCTCGTATCGGACTTTGATCCACGGGCTTGGAAAGGCGGGACGTGCAGACGAGGCCATCGATGTCTTCACAGAGATGGTTGACAACGGCGTGGTTCCCGACTGTCCGAGCTGCACGAGCCTCATTCAAGCTTTGGCAATGGCGGACAGGATGGACGAGGCGACGCAGCTCCTTAGAGACATGCCGAGGATGGGAATCACTCCCGATGCTCTGGCTTACAATGCTCTGGTCAAGGTGCTGTGTGGTGGTGCCAAAGTTGGGCCTGCCTGGGACGTTCTTGTGGAGATGATGGACAACAGCTGCGTCCCAGATGGCTCGACGTTTAGAGCTATGAAGCTGGGATTCAAGGCTGATACAGCTTGATCCCTGATCGATTTCCAAAACTTGGTTGTAGCTAGACTAGGATCAATAACACTGTTATTTAAAGCACTCTCTCAATTTGTACTATACGCATTATGTGTATCTATACTAATCTATTATATTTATGCTTATAAAAAATATTAAATTTGATTGTATTTTACACTTTGAAGACTATATCTTTTAATAAACTCTTAAAGTGACCCTTCAAAAGAAAGAAAAAACGTCACCCTTCAAAAAAATTTGGGGTGAAAGTCACAGCTGGATCACATGGTTTATGAGAATCTGAAGCTTGTAGTACTCTCCAAAGTTGGTTGTTATCCATACATATGTTCAATACAACAATGGAATGGTTATCTTTCCACTCCAAAACTGAAGACCAGAGGGACTCAGACACTGCCGGCTTTTGACCGTGATTTTTAAAAAATTTATGGAAAATTTTCATCCACAATAACCATGATTTCACCACTTCAAATAGTGTTCAATGATATCTGGTGGCCAAAATTTTACCACCCCACTTTTCTTGTTGGAGTAATCTTTCTGGATTTTTTTGTTGGAATTGAGTTGGTCATTTTTCAGATTGCTATTACAATTTTTCACAGAAGGTGTGGACAAGGGCGGCCGAGGAGCTCACTCGCGTCGACAGGGTATCATGAGCTCCTAGAAGGACAAAGAAAAAAGAGTTTGGACACCACGTCTGATGAACTCACAGTACCTCGAGCATCTGGAGGACACCAGGCAATACATTCGTTGACTTCCATTCGATCCTGACCAGGCTGCTGCTCAAGCTATCGTGGATTTGTCTCAGCCTCGCTAAGCTAGCGTGATCTGGCCGATCCTCGTAATTGAAGTTGTCCAGGAGAAACAAGAAAAACTTCTCCACCTGTTATCCAGTGGTGGCGGTGCTGGCTAGAGCTTGACTCTCTAGTCGCGCGAGCCAAACGAGGGATTGCTCGTTGCGCCCGAGCTGAAGCAGCAGCCAGGAGTAGACTAGCTCCAGCAAGATCTTGGTCACGTCCAAGAGATCCAGTAAGTTAACTTGGGGTGTTCTGTCACGAGCTCGTAGATCCTGGATAACGGTTGGGTTCCTACTCTCCAAAAAAAGATAGAGATCCAACTCTCCAAAACTTACGTGTTAGACGTGCCAGTGTTTCCTCTTGATCCTCCCACTCAGTCGTCGCAGCATTTGCCATCAACTGGAAAGAAAAATCCGAATCAAACAAGTCTAGAAGGATACCAGAACACTCACCTCGTCCAGCTTGGACAAGACGTAGTTCCAGAAGCGAAGTGGCAAAACCCATCCCCTGCTCTCGAAGCCTACAAGAAAGATCAGCATGGTGATGCTCGAGAGGGAAAGAACGTACTCTACCCTATAATCTTTGCCCTTGCTTCTTGGCCATGATTGTGCAAGGAAAAGACGAGAGGAACTCACAGTTGAAGCGCCTCAAGGAACTTGTAGTGCTCCGTCCAGCTCTCGCGCGACTTTGTGATGGTGTATGGCTTGCGGATCTTCCTGGCGGCATTGCTCTCCTGCATTTGGCGCTGCTGCTGCGCGATCGACCATGAAAACCTGGAAATATTCCCTAATCGTGCAAAGAACTAACCAATCGTGCAGAGAGTTGTCAAGAAAGAAGCGCTGACCAAGCGGAGCATAGATTTTGGCCGAGAACGCACAGATTTCGACCGAGAATGCAATGCGCTTTCTAAAACCCTAGGAAACAGAGATGTCAGTGCCACATAGTTTGAACGTCAGCGCCTAGGTGGATGCATTTAGGGTTCTTCCTTCCCGCGATGCGTAAGCATCAAAATCGTTCTTCCTCGAGCCAGATCGTTTGTCTATCGTTCTTGCAGAGAGTGGTCTACTCTTTAGTTTTGGAAACAACAGCACCGATCAACTCCATTGCGAAACCACCAATGATATCCCACGATCATTTAAAAGGCAAAGTATAGGAAGGAATTGTAGCTCACAATTTTTGACAATTTTTTTCCAAGAATGACCACAAATCCCACAAAATTTATGATTCAGTCAATTCAATTATTTTTACCCACTTTAAAAATTACAATGTTTGAAATTGGTAGATACACTTTCTAGCTAAAATCACCAAAATTAGTTAATCTTTTACAGCCATACGGGCTCTTATATACTTTTTATCCTTCAGCACTAATGTTTTGATGATCAGGTATGAACTTTTAGACTCTTAATCAAGAATGCGGCATAACTCTAATCCGGTGCATTGGAAAATCTGAAAAGGTATGGTGAAGACTTTAAATTTTACTATAAATGGGCAAATTACTATAATATATTGAATTATTTTGGTGTCCCAAAATGTGGTAGTGTAGACTCTCAGTAACAGTTCATTTCCCATCTCTCACTACATGTCATCATACCACACTCATAGCCTTGCAAAGTGTTACATAGGATGTTATCTAATACTATGTAGAGAAAACTTTGTGTTAGCAAATTAATTTTCTAGGGTGCCATATTTCCCCTCTTGATATAATTATTATCACTAAATCATATATTCATTAATTTGGGAGAATCTACAGTCTCAAAATAAGATTTTATTTGAGAATATTCATAAAAATAATATTAATTACAATAATAAAATAGATTTGTTTTTGGGTTTATAATTTTTAGCTGTATACCTATCTTTGCCATCTCAAAAAATCATTTGCTTATGTTTTTCAGTAATGGGAAGCCACAATTATGAATAGTGTTTTTTACGAATGTTTCTAAGTCTTTGCAAAAATCTTCACTGTTTTTATATAGCATTCTTTTGTAAAGATGTTTTATATTCTGAAAAATAAATGAATTTGTAAATATATATACAATATACCATTTATCACTTTTTCTATAAATACTCTTTTGAAGGTTATATTTTAAATTTTCATGTAAAATATCTTTTGCATCCTTATCCTCAATTAACATTCACATAATAAAAATTTGAAATTTTTCAAGGGCTTTATCTTCTTTAGGAATTTCATATGATAGTGGATATAAAGAATAAAGTCTTTTATTTGTAACTCATTGATATAAAGTATTATCAATAAGTATCCTTTGATGTTCATTATATCTCCATATTTTATCCTCTATTTGAATTAAATAATTTTCATCTTTTATAAAAATCTCCTTCATATTGTCCCATGTTACAACCTTTCCTATATTTTTTGTATAAGTTTTATCATATATCACTGTAAATAAGTTTGAAGTATTTGATGCATAAGTAAAATAATTTAGTAATGGTAATAAATCTTGTTCAAAAGTGCAAGACTAAACTCCAAGTTGTAAAAAATCTTTTTTAAATGATCCAAGCCATTTTAGAAATGGGATAGTATATGACCTTATTGCCAAATACTGATTATAATATTTAATTACCATTTTGTAATTTTTCATTTCAACTTCATTAATCTCTTCTACTAATAATCCATTAATTTCAAGTTGTGAAGTTTATAAATACATGTACGTATATACAGGTATTACCATAGCTAGGTAATACACTAATTATAGTACTATAGCATATGACCATCCATTTGGAATTGAATTTTGTCCATCCATTTTTTTAAGGTCTAAACCCCAATTAATATACTTATTTCTATATCCCAATCACTCACATTAGTGGAAGTGAGGGGCATTACAATTTGTCTTTGGAGGGTGAAATTTTTTAGTAACGCTTTGCACTAATGTTTGGGATTGTGTTTTTTGTTATATTTCTTCATTCTCTTTTAAATTTGATCTATATTAGCTTTTTGTAAGATCTAAAATTCTAGCTATTGTTATGTTTAAATCTACTCTTTTTTTAATTTTCATTGCATTCTCTTCTTCTACCATGCCACACCATTATCGATCAAGGAGTATATAATTTAAGGTTGCCAATGTTACTCTATTTTAGTGTTGTGAGATGTGATCATGTTGATGTTGCACTCATCTTTGGTGTGTTGCTATCTTCAACTTCTATGGGATGTGATTACACGACTTGTCCTATTCTTGGTATTTTGCCATTTCTCATTTATGTGGAGCATGATTGTGACATTAATTGGTGAGTTACAAATGATGTAGTTCAGTTCTTAGAGAATGTTCAAGGATTGAGTTTATGGGAAGACAATGTTTATGAACTCGAATAGATTCTAAATTGTGATGAAGAGCTTGATTATTATGGAGATAACTTTAGAGATGAAGTGGAGATTTCGCTGGGTAGATGTTAATCCTTTAATTTGTCATTTGATTCTTTTTTCTTTACCTTCTACTTTTTCCCAACCTTTTCTTATTTTTTCATCTAAGCCACCATTTTATATTCTTAGTATTTCTCCTCATTTGCAGTGTTTTCTTCTCCTAGCACATTGATTATTTATGACTCTAATAATTCTCATTCTCAATCTAATGTTGAGTTGAGTGTTTTATGTCCTCCTTATACTAATCCAGATGTTAAGTATGTGCATGAAGTTGAGAATTTTGCTTTCGTTTCATTAATAAGGTCTTTGATCAATTCTAGTATTGAATATTTAAGTAACTTTGGCCAGAGTTTCAAGTTGAATGCATATTCTCACTTGTGAGTGTCGTTAAGAGCTTTTGCTTTATTGTTATTGTTAAGGAGTTTATATATTCCCTTGAGAGTGTGGACATTATTATTAATTTCCCTATCTCAAGTGTTGAATTGTGTATTGAAGAGGTGGAGCGGTGTGAATTTTTTACTTATATTATAATGGCCGAAGTATTTTATGATAGAAAGTCCTTTATTTTTTAAGTTTTGAGCATATGTGTATCTTTTGATTTTCCTATTTCTGAATTGCCAACTATTGTAAATTCCTTTTTTGATGCTTCTTTATCCACCTTTTCTTCCATAATTTTTTTTCCTTCATTTTTCTCATTTTTTCCTTTTTATTTTGACACTTCAAACTTTTTTTTCTTCGAAGGGGGTAAAAGGGACAAATGGGAGTTTGGTCTTGACAATAGAGTGAGGATAAGCAAATACAATAGTGGAATGAGGACAAATGATATGGATTATGAAATAAGGACAAGCACAATAAGTCTGAATAGAGCTAGTGCTTCAAAAAAAAAATTCCTTTAAGAAGGGGGT